GAGAGAGAGAGAGAGAGAGAGAGAGAGAGAGAGAGAGAGAGAGAGAGGTATACATGCTTGTGTTGTTGGAGAGTTTGGCATCAAGTGTCTTCCTTAGTCTCCCCTTATTTTTTGGTGTGGGATCTGTTATTGAGTCTGAGGTTCACTGGTTCAGCTAGATTGACCGATTATTGAGTCCGTTTGTCCAGGCTCTTCTTATATAGACATTGGGGGTCCAAACTCCAGTTCTCATGCTTGCACAACCAGCATGTTACCAAATAAGTTATCTCTCCAGCCCATAGTCCATTTTCATTTTTCTTGCTGCTGTTTTGTTTTTTAACATTGTGTATATCTCAGTGTCTCAGTGTGTTCTTTAAAAAGAGGTTTTTTTACTGGTTAATTGATCTACACCAAAAAATTTATCTGGGTGTGGTTGTGCATGCCTACAATCCCAACACTTAGGCTGAAGTGGGAGAATCACAAGTTTGAGACCAGCCAGGGTCACATGAGGAAATTCTTTCCACATGCCAAAAGGTTTGAATACGTTCCTGGTATCACCACACTGTCTAAGGTGCCAATTACACCCATCTCCTCCCAGACTTCCTTGTGCTCTTGAGGAGGGGGGACTTTGCAAGATGTTCACTTTGTTAGAATTTTCATATGTGTATTAAGAAGTTCACTTGAAGTCCATCTTCTTAACATATTTTAAAGTGCACAGTATGGGACTGAAAAGATGTCTCAGCGGTTAAGATTGTTCTTCCAGAGGTCCCAGGTTCAATACTCAACATCCACATGATGGTTAACAACCAACTCCAAACCCAGTTCCTGGGGATCCCAAATCTCTTCTGACCTTCTCAGTCTCCTGTACACACATGATGCACAGACAAACACTCAGACACATATACATATAAAGTAAATAAATATAGTTAAAAAATAAAGTACTGAAATTTGTAGGCAAACAGATGGAGCTAGAAAACATCTTATTGAGTGAGGTAATCCAGACCCAGAAAGACAATTATCACATGTACTCACTCATAAGTGGGTTTTAAACAAAAAGCTAAGAAAAACAGCCTACAAATCACAATCCCAGAGAACCTAGACAACAATGAGGACTCTAAGAGAGACATACATGGATCTAATCTACATGGGAGATAGAAAAAGACAAGATCTCCTGAGTAAATTGGGAGCATGGGAACCTTGGGAGAGAGTTGAAGGGGAGGGGAGAGGCAGGGAAGGGAGCAGAGAAATGTAGAGCTCAATCAAACAAGTTTTAAAAAAATAGCTCAATCAAATAAATTAAAAAAAATAAAGTACACAATACTGTACCAACCATTGGCTTCAGAGACATCTTCTACAGCAGCTCTCTAGAACTTTCTATCTTCTACAATAGAAATTTAACTCGACTGCCATAGTTCCCTCCCCCAAGCTCTTGGCCATCACCATTCTGTTATATGAACCAATGTACTATGAATCACTTTAAATGCCTCATGGAGGTGAATATATTCCACTCTTTTTTTTTCTTTAAATGCATTTGGTGCAGCACTCCACCCCCATGGCGGCGCGCGCGCCTGCGGAGCTTGTGCTGGTCTTGGAGCAGGCGGTCTGGGGACGCAGGACTGGGTCCAGGGCTGACAGGTGGCCAGGGTGGCTGACAGACCCAGGAACTGGGGAGTGGAGAGCAAGCGAGACGCCGGTAGAGAAGGGCTGGAGGCCTAGTGGAAAGCACAAGAGTCCCTACCGCTTAGAAGCAGGGGCGCGCTCGCTTGGACCGGGCGCGCGCCAATCTCCGCTCAATATATTCCTCTCTTACCTTACCTATGATGCTCATTCTGGACCGGTGATTGTCTACCAATCTCTCTCAGAACCACACAGGACACTGTAAGTCCTCCTACCATGCAAAATGCCTTGGCTCTTCACATTATAACTCTCAACAGAGACTGGGGAGGTGGCTCGGAGGGTAAGGGTGATTGCTACACAAGCCTGAGTACCTGAGTTTAAATTCACGGTCCCACATAAAAAAGCAGAGCACGCCACATGTGTCCTGTAATCCCAACACTGTCCAGGGCAAAGGCTCACTGGAGCTTGGTGGCTGCTACCTCTATCTCCAGATTCAATGAGAGACCCTGGCTCAAGAAAACAAGGCAGGGTGATATAGCAGGTCACCTAATGTGACCCTCTGACCTCTGTGCACATGTACGCAACGCCACACAAACTCATACACATAAATAAATACATACATAAATCTCCCAGGGTGAGATCTTGCCTGGCAACTGTGCTGTGCAACTCTAATTAAAAACAACTGAACTCAAACCGATGAGTTGTGGCATCTAACCACTCAGACATAATCCAGTTTGGCTGGGATCCCAGCAGAGAGGTCAAAAGGGCTGATCAGTGGGGACTGGCATAGTCAGGGCTGTCCCCAAGCAAGGCCCCATTAGCTATGGGGTAAAGCACTTTGTTCAAAGGACAAGGCACACATCAATCACCAGGGCAAATGAACAATGAATACTCTCACCCCCAAGGGCAGACACTCATGTCCATAGCTTGCAGCTTTGGCTGACCGAATAAGATGGGAAGGAGTCAGTGAGTCAGAGGGAGTAAGCACATGGACTAAGCATGGGGCTGCCTAGAAATAAATGTTCATTGCAGGGAAATGAGTCTAGATGGCTTCCTGCCCTGAGCTCAGGAGAAACCTCAGGCAAGATGGCTGTCTCTTTGGGCTTTCCACCTCCCTTTCATCTCTTCACCGAGCACAGCTGAGACCACCTTTACCTTTAATTGTTTAACAAATCACACTGGAAAACGTGGTCAACCATTTAAGGAATGGGGAACATTGACTAGATCAGAGTATCAGATGACACACATTAATGTGTAAAATCGTATCAGCAGAAGGGTTGGCAGGCAGGGTAGTGACATCTAAAGTGAGCCGCAGAAAAGATGGGAGCGTCTCTGAGTTCCCTGCACCCATATATGCTGGGTCCCCTTGACCAGGAGTACAGCTGGGAACGGCTATGGAAACCGGAAAAACTCTTCAAGATGGAACCATACCCAGACCTCGAAAATCAAAGGGTCCTGGCCACCAGACTCAACCTGAAGGAGGAACAAGTTGAGACTTGGTTCATCCGGCGTTCCTTGAAGCAGGAGATGCGTCCTCACTTTGCTTGGTTACGAGAGTCTGGCCGCCATAACCCTCCTTCCTGTGCTTCCCACAAAGCCAGCTGCAGCCGGCCACCAAGTTGGCGGTTCAGGCTCATTCCCATCAATTCCTCGGGGTCCTCAACCTGCTGTGAGCACACTTGCTGACTCTGCCATCCAGAGACGTTGTGGTCCCCCAGAGCCACCCCCAACCCCCTTGCCGACTCCCGGTTTCACTGAACTCACCAAAATATTGGAGGCTTTCTAGAAACTGGGGGCTTCTGGGAGCGGAGGGGGTCCATCTGTAAACTCCTGGATGCCAAGACAGATGGCATTGGACAGAAACGGCATGAAAAATGACAAAGCAGGAAGTCTGAATCTCTAACAGGATCCTCCAGGAGACTCCACAGTGTCACACCCCACAGGGTCCCATCTCAATGACTTCTGCCTCCTCTAGGCTGGGGGTTGTGGTTCCAATTCTCTTAACACCCATCCAAGATTGCCTGTACCCCATGCTAACTATCAACTCAATACGTAGCTAGCGTAGAACGACCTTGAACTTCTTGTCTCCACTTCCCAAGGGCTGGTTACAGGTCTGTGTATGAGCATTTTCTTGCCTATGAGCATTTGCTTGTTTTCTTTGACCATTTTTTTCCTGCCTACTAGTGCTTCTGAAATTGCTTTTTATGAACCTGTTTTGGGTTTTAGATCTGGGAATGACATCATTTATCAATGTAATCACTGATGAATAAAATTACTTTTTTAAAAAACTAAAATAAATAAAAAATCATATCAGACTATTGCTTGTTCTTTAATATTTTAATTGGCATGTATTCATAGTATTTGGTCCTGGGTTGTACAAGGGCATTTTCATCTAAATATATAATATACTTTGAGCATATTTCTCCCCTTACCCTCTCCTTTTAAAGCTGCCACCTTCCCATTAGTTCTCTTTGTTTCCTTGGACAGTGTAATGATTAGCATTGTCAAAGTGATGGACTCTAGACTCTCTTGGTAGATGATCCTCTGGACATGTCTGCTACGGGTTATCTAGGTTATGTGGGAAGATTCATTTTAATTGTGGAAAGAACCATTGCCTGGGCAAGGGATCCTAGATTAAATAGAGTGGAGAAAGCAAACAGAGTAAGTATCTGACTGCAGTAAGTATCTTGGCTACAGATACAATGTGACCAGCTCCCTCAAGTTCTGACCTGTGCAACACCATGCCATGGTGCACTGTAGCCTGGTTTGCTTTCTATTTATTTGGTCTTTATGGCTGGAAAAAAATTCCAGTGTCTACAAAGCCATATTTTTTTTATCCATACCTCTTGGCGGGTTATTGTTTATTCGTTTTTACTTTTGTCAGAAGGACAAGGATCAGCACCAGAAGTTGTCAGTTGACCTCTCCAGGTGGGCACTCACACCGGCACACACACAGAAACAAAGGATTTTTTTTTTTTTAAATTGAGGCTAAGCTAGGTGTGGTGGTGTCTGCCTATAATCCAAACGCTAGGGAGACTGAGACAGGAAGACCAGAAGTTTGATGCCAGCCTGGGCTATGTATATTACATTACTCCGTGGGGGAAAAAAAATTAAAGAAAGAAAAGGAAAAGAAAAAGGAAAAATAAACCAAGAAGTCTATTAATTTAAAATGAACACATTTTATTATTTCCCAAATGTACAAACTTGACAATCTGTTGTGTCCTGTTTAAAGGAAAATAATGGTTTCTGCGAGGAGCTGACAGGTACAGTGGCCATAAAGACACTTTGTGGCCGGCCAGGATGGCTGACTCATCTAGTAAAGGCACTGACAAGCCGACCACCCGGGTTCAATCTCTGGAGGCTGGAAGAGATCGACTTCTGTCAAGTTTTCCTTTGACCTCTACACGTGTGCACATGTGCGCGCACGCACGCGCACACACACACACACACACACACACACACACACACACACACACTGCTTAAAAGGAAAACTGATACTTGTGCCTACAAGAGACCCAGAAGTGAGTTTTGTTGGCATATCTCAACCAGGTTTTTATTATTCTAGCAACTGCAAAATATACAAATTTCTGAAAGGCGTATCCTGCTTAAAAGCTTGCATAGCTTCTTCCCAGGTCATGGAGAGACAAATACACAGAACATGAAGAAGTCATCGATCACACATTGAGAGGCCCCAAACCAATGAACAATTAAACCCAATCTATGCAGCTTTCTAGTTTTAGGCTCCCTTATACATATTAAATAAATAAATAGCACATCTGCTATCAAAATAATAAAAAAATAAATTTCAAGTATTACAAATGAAAATATCATTGGCGTGGTTCCAACAGTTTTTCTTCTCCCCATAAATGAAGGGTGTTGCCCATGGTTGAAGGGAATGGGAGAAATTTACCCCCAAAACAAATATGCAAAGTTAAAAAACATTGGTCCCCATTTTATTTTGTTGCTTTGGGTGGAAGTGTGGGAGTTCTGTGAGTGAGGCCACCCCGTTCCTCCAGTCACTGCGTTTCAAATCAAGCTGTGTTCCACCCACTTCAAGATCTCCCGAGCCCAATCTTATCCATCCCTTCACAGAAAGTGAAAACACACCGGGCAAAGCTTTCGCTTGATGTACTGAATTACGTTAGTCACGGGTGACCACCCCTACCTGCCCCAGCCTTGAGAGTCTCTATGTTTTAAGAGTTAGTTCTGTAACTAGAGAGTAGATGTGCTCAGAAGGGGACACCTAAGGAACTACCTCCAAGTGCAAAGTCATACTACCAGACATGGTGGCTCACGCTTTATGACCCCAATGCTGGATTTGGGAGCCTGAGACAGGAGGACTGCTAGAAGTTTGAGGCTAGTTTGAGTTACACAGTTAAGATCCTGTCCACCCTCCAAATGCAACGCTGCAGGCCCCCAGGCTAAAGTATTACCTGCCTGTGCACACCCGGGCACAAGTCTGCACTGCAGATATCCTTGTCAAGACTCCAGTCACTAAGAGGAAATAGTTCACATCTTATGTACATAGTCCTCTCTCTGGTGACCACAGATTTGAAGGGTAGTGGGCTGGACTGAGAAACTTGGGTGATTATCTGTGAGATGCACGAAATGACTTTAGAGCATCCAAAGTACACCCTTGTGCCACCCCCAAGACCTGTACCTGGGGAGGACAGGCTCCCCAGGACTCACAGGCAGAAGGAGGGAAGGAAAGTGACCTCTAGCACCAGCTGTGGGAGCATCCTTATAAAAGGCTCATCTGGGCAAAACCCACTGAGTTTCTAAATGGTTTCTTCCAGGCTAAGGATATCCTCTCCTTCCCCAGAACTTGGGTGGATAAAGGGGGAGAAACAGGCGGACAGAAACAATAGGTAGTTACAACAGCACTGCTCTCGACTCACGCAAAAATGTCAGACATCAGGAAGACGACAAGGACAATTTTCTAGTCTTGGGAACTCCTTGAGATGCCTAGCAGCGTAGTATCAGGCATACAACAGACACCAGACCAAAACACGGAGACAGCTCTAGGCACAAGCGGCTTGGAACAAGCCTTACTTGGGCCACCATTCCTCTTGGAAACCGGGAGCAAAGTTGAAGACTCTGAGCCTCCCCACTTCACAGATCCCTCCCATTCAGCAGTTCCAAGCCTCCAAGGGCCAACACCCTGCCATCTCGGTTCCTGAAGTGAAGTGAGACTTTCAGGTCACACTTCTGCCCAAAAAGAAAAAGAAAAGAAAAGTGGGGGAGGGGAGGGAGGGGGGGGGGGGGGGGGGGGGGGAGGGAGGGGAAGAAAGGAAAGAAAGTGCAAAACAGCAAACAGCCAGCCACAGGATTTGCTCAGGTGCCTCCAGGCCCAGGCTGGAGAACAGAAAGCCTAAGAGCCCCAGGGAAGAGGGGGTCCTGGTTTTTTTTTTTTTTCAGCAAAATGCTTCCTTCCACACTGATGCAACCAGTGTGTCCCTTAAGTCGAGACCTAGAAGGCATGTGGACGCGTGGAAAGGCCAGGGCATGTCACTGCCCAGCTGACCAGTAAGCCTCAGGTTAACGGCCACACCCAGGGCAGCATTTGTCCAAGTCCCTTATCTTTGAGGTCTCTTCCCAGGCCAAGATGTATAAAAGCCACGCAAGTGTTTGAACATCCCTTAGCATCTGGGGTCTAACTCACTCTGAACTTCAGGATTCTCTGACAGTCTAGTCTCTCGGCTATCAACGTGCCGGGCGGGCCAGCATCCAAAGAAACAAACCCGAACAGCATGGTGACATCCACTGAGAGGCCTGATCTCACCTCTTCTAGAACTACAGTCCTTCCCATGCTTCAGTAGGGTCTGTGAGGTCAGACACCCTGGACGTCCCAGGAGAACAGAGGGTGGGGAGGGCTGCAGCTTTGCCATGGGAAGCTAGGATCTGGCCAACTTCCTAGTTGTCTTTGCCATCCCAACATCTCAGGCGGTGTTGTTTCTCTTCACCCAGAAGACCTCCATTCTCCCCCCAGTCCGGAAGTCCTTGAGATCGCTTGGCCTCAGGTAGATGAGCGGGCACAAGGCAGGCTGTAGAAATGGAACGGAACCCATGTTTCAGCTTCAGTGCTTCTGGGAGGAGTCAGTACTGCTCCGGGGGCTCTTCATGTTCTGTTACCAGGAGAGAGAGGAAGGGAGGGTCAGGACCTGGTGCTGACTGTGCCACAAGCAAAAGGCTCAAGGCCATGCCACAAGACACCTCCGCCCTCCATCCCCTCCAAAGAACACACCCCTGGCAGAGGATAACCACAAACATGTGGAAGAGCCCAAGTAGGTCTCAGAACATGACAGAAACTACCCTAGGCTGCAGAAAGAAGCTAGAGACACGGGCTGGGACTCTGCTTAGCACTGGGCTCTAGATTCCAGTCAGCAGGGCATAGAGAAGGACAGGCAGGTTACTTGGGAGCCTGCTGCCACAGGCCTCGGACAATGATGCCTAGAGAGGACAAGAGACCATGAGGCACAGATAGGAACATCATGCATCCTCCCCTTTAGGAACTGAGGGCCACTCTCCATGCCACACAGCCCTCTCATTGGTCACAGTCAGGTCAAGATCAGCTGGGACTGTCTGGACCAGCAGAGCTGTTCTCTGGGATCAACTAACGGAACCTTGCACTCAGCTACAGGAGGCGGGGGGGGGGGGGGGGGGAGTCCCAAGTCTGGGCACAAAGCCCCTCAGAATGCGAGAGACAAGTGGGATGGTTGGTCGTACAATGGAGGCCCAGCGGGGGCTGTATCATAAAGCCTGCTGGGTCTTGACCCATGTACCTGCGGCAACAAGTCTCACAAAACATTAGCTGGTATCAAGTTCCCTTTTAAGATGTTCTCAAGTCCCTTGCCTTGACTCTTGACTACTACCACTGGCCCGTAAGCATCTCTCCCTAAAACCCCCAAATCTAACCCTTCAAAAAAGAAATGTCCAATAAAAGTATTCCGTCTGGGCCCTCCAAACTCCAGGGGCAGGATCACAGAGGGATGGGTTTCAGGTAGGCAGGAATGCAAGAACTACTCTCAGTCACAGAATGAAGGAGCCTAGCTGAAGATGTCGAGAGAAGGGATACTCAGTTCTGGGCCGCCCTAGGATCGCCGCTCATCTGAGAGAGACTTGGGATCCAGGCAGCAGCGCCCTGTGTGAAACAAGGTCCTTCTGGCAGTGCCCTGGACCACGTGTGTGGGAAGAGCCCTGGCCATGCAGTGGGATCCAAGAGGGAGGGTTACCACTTTTGCCACACCTCCAGCCCAGGATCTCTAGCATTCACACATGACGACAATGTGACAGCAACAGGGAAGCCACATGGTGAGCCGTGTCCACATCCAGGGACCCCCCCCACACTCGGAACACACAGAGGCAGAGATGGAAGGACCCCACATCAATGGCACTGCTTGAAAGACCACCCAGCACTGACACATGAGCCACAGACTCCACAATGGCCAATCTGTGCATAGAGCACAGTCCCCTTCGGCTGAAAGCCATGACTCAGATACAGGAGGAAACAGAGGGGCATGCACAGCTTGATTACCTTTCCCAGGTTAGTAAGGAGAAAACTTTGAAAAAATGTGACAGACAGTTCGTCTTTCAAGCATAGTGGGAGGGAAAAAAAGAAAAAAAAAACAACAGGTTGGAAGGTTGGAAAAGGAGAAAACAAAACCAATTTTAGTATTTTCTGTTGGAGTTTGAGATAAGGTCTCATTTAGCCCAGGCTGGCCTGAAGCACTCTACGTAGTAGATGACCATCACCCATCAGGACCCTCCTAGGTGCCAGATTTTTGCCGTGAGTTATATGCATATTTTCACCATTGAAGGTCCCTACAGGGTTGCAATCCCCATTTACAGATAAGGAAGTTCAAGTCTTAAGACTGGTTTAACTTCCCTAATGTTCCAAAGGCTGTGGCAAAGTTGGTTTAGTCTGGCTTTTAAAGTAAATGCTGGAAGTCAGGTAAATTGGTACATGCATAGCTGCAATTCAAGCACTGAGGGTGAGACAGGAGGATTGCTTTGAGTTTGAGGCCTCGGATACACAGTAAGTCCCAGGCTAGATAGTATCGTCGTAGTTGTCTTATCTCAGTAAAAGAAGAGTTGATTAGTTTTGGTCACAGGATTGGGCTGGACTAGATTCTGGGTCTCAGGAATAGAATCTGACCCTACCTGGGGTGATGAGTCTTCAGGGAACATTTTTGCTTAACTAAGGGATTCCAGTCAAAAGCACTATTAAATTCATCTTGGAAGTGGACAAGCTGAGCCACAAGTTCCAAGTCAAAGGTCTTGCAAGGAGAACCCTTGGTCCTCAAACTATAGACACTGGATGGCGGGTGATAGACATTGTTGCTTTCTGAGAGGGAAAATGACAGCCAGGCCAGTCCCCTTCCTTGGGAAGTAGTTGCAAGAGAAGCTGTGGGAGCTAATCCACAGGCCAGAGGCTGCTCGAAGTGCTCTTCAGGCTTCTAGAACCAGAGAGATGCTGGGCAGTGGTGGCCCATCTCTCGGGAGGCAGAGATGGGTGGATCTCTGTGAGTTCAAGACCAGCCTGATCTACAGAGCGAGTTCCAGGACAGGCTCCAAAGCCACACAGAGAAGCCGTGTCCCGAAAAACAACAATAACCAAAAACAAACAAACAAACAAAAGAATCAGAGAGAGAAAAACCATACCTAGGCCTTTGTAAGAAGCTAGCTTTCTGGGACACAAGGTCTCTTTGAGGCCTGCCTCCACTGCCTACAGGTTGGTGGGTGTGCAAGCAGGTCACTTGATCATACTTGTTAAACAGGATGAGGATTGCCCTGCCCGTCTCTTATTTAAGGAGAGATACAATGGCTGGGCCCTCCCGTTCTGTGGTTGCATAGCTCTAAATGCTGGACCATTCCTCTTTCTCAAGCTTGACACAGCCGCAGTGGGTTCTGAGGACGCAGTGAAGTGGGATCATCAAGTACAGTTTCCACATGGATGTCTCTCGAGAGCCTGTCCCCAGGTCGGACTGACAGGCACACCTCCAGGCCATCAAGGCAGGTCCCCATGTTCGGATATTAGGCTACAGATAAATATTGCTTTCCGAATAAAAGAATGCTCCTCTGAGAGAGGGCATGCAGGAAATAACAGCAAGGACTGATTTCACTTTTCATCGAAAGCTGACCCCACCGGGGAAATCTGACATGAGAGGACCCAGCCTGTGACTACTAAAGACAAACCCTAGAACCCCAAGAGGGACTGGGGAGTAGGACTCCATGGCTGATGGCGCTGGAGTTTGCTGAACAGTGTCAGTTTGGCCACAACACAGCCCCTCTCTATCAACCTTGGGGATTCTCTCCTCCCATCTCTTTCTCTTCTGTGGACAGCCTCAGAGTTTACCCAAACTGTCTTCAACCCAAATACCTCAACAGGCAGGAGACAGACTGGCAAACAAGCAAGAGGAAATGCAAGCAGCAGAATTATCGAGAAGGAAATACTTACAGACAGGCTTTCCCTAGCAAAGGCTGCAGGGAGACAAGGTAAGGAGAGAGAACAAGTCAGTCAGGAGGCCAGATGGCAGCTGGTGAGATGAGCCCACCCCCACACCTCCCATGTCTGACCTAGCCAATAGATCCCAGACATCTGTTCCCGAGGATCTGGCAATCCTGAAGGGCTATCCTAATAAATTCAGAGGCATCTGGGAAGTGCGGGATAAGACTGGACTCTTGCCAGTGTCCTTCTTAACCAGATCAGTGTAGCTCTGGATGCCCCCTATCCCAGGCCTAGGTTAATCTCCTCAGGCCTCTGCAACAAAAGACTCCCACAATGCACCAGGACAGAGTGGCATAGTGATGCAATTCAGTTATGCTTGACTATAACAGAAAACTCTCAGATCTAAAGGAATATCCACTAGAGTCTTCCCATCTAGTCCTGAGCCCATTTCCAAAGCTAAAGAGACTGAGCGTGGCCACTCAAATCTTATACCTGCCAGGCACGGCAGTGCACTTGGGAGGTAGAGGAGGATCAGGAGTTTGAAGTCATCCTCAACTACATAGTGAGTTTGAGGCCAGTCTCTAAGCACCATGAGAGACCGTGTTCTCCACAAAACAACAAAACCCTACACTCGGGAGGCAGAGATAGGATGACCATAAACTTGAGACTACATAAAAGACAACGCCTGAACCAAGAACCTGTGGCCAAAGAAGTATGTGTGTGGTGGTGGTGGTGGTGGTGTAGCGGGGTGGGGGTGGGGGTATTTACACTCCTGTTAGTGGCAGAGCTACGATTCAAGCCAGGTTTCCTGGCTCTCAGTGAATCTGTCATCTTACTGGACCCAAACCTTACTTCTTGCCAGACCCCAATCACATGTACCACACCAATCACCTTGTCCAAGCCACTTTTTGCATTGTATTATTCCCCAATCCCACAGATTAGGAAACCAAGGCCTGGGGTGGTTAAATGAGCTTTGGAGGCCTCGGTGTTCTCTCCATACCACATCCCAGACCTCGGGAAGTCAAAGGAAGCTCAGGGGTCAACAGAAGCACGGGCAGGCAGCAGACAGCGAGAGTTTGCCTAGCGTGGAGATGAATTCAGCCAGGCATCGGGGCATGGTCTATATTTCATTTTTGCAAAAGTTCTTGGCTATCTGATTTTCTGAAAATTTTCGTGCTCAGTGGCCAAACTCGTCCAGCCTTTGACCTTTCAAGCTAGCGAAATAGAGAATCTTGCTGGGTTCTGCTTTCACTCTGATAATAATCTACTTGCCGTGTGAAAACGTGGCTATCCTGGCTACCTGATCCTGCGTATGTTATGTATACACAGACTGTGCACACATGCATCCAGGTACAGGGATGCCGATGACCACAAGTGTCACGTGAATGGACATTAAAGGACAATCTCGGATGTCAATCCTCAGGAGTCTTCTACCTTTTCTTTAAAGGAGGTCTCTTACTGTCCTGGAATTTCACCGTGTAGGCCAGGCCGGCTGGCCTGTGAGCCTCTAGGGATCACCTGTTTTTGCCTCTCATCTCTGTACCCCTGATTTTACAGGCACGTCCTTCCTCACTCAGCTTCCTCCCATCTCACCGCCAGTGAATGTCCCTCTGCACTCAGCTTTTGCATGGGTTCTGAGGACCTGAACTTGGGTCTTCACAGTTGCCTGGGAAAGAGCTTTATCAATTTGCCTCTCCAGCTCTGGACTATTTCTGGGGGAGGGGGGGATTATGCTGATTATGGAGAGGGGGTAGGCTCCTCTGTGGGACCTCAGCTTTATTCTGTCATAGAGGTGATAGGAAAGGCATTAGATTAGCTATGGGATAGGAAGACACGTGCAGACTCCCCGGATTGGGCATTGCTAAAGATAAACTGTCCTAGAAGTAACCATTCACAAATGTGCAGAACATTTTACAATTTCTTTTGCTCTGCCTGATTCTGCTAATTAAAGGACAAAGAGCATGCTCTCGGAAAGAATAGATAGCCACTGTTGATCAGGAAAGATCTTCAGAGGGCATCTCATGTTCTTCCCGCTGCATGGACACACACTACACACCCACAAACACGGTCTACTGCACATCACACACAGAGCCCACCCTAAACACAGGCGCACATCCTCACTTGCAAACGCAAACACAGTTCCCAGGTCTGGGGATCGTCTCCCCTGTAGGCAGTAATTAAAGCAGAATCACTGACTTGTCCAGGCAGCTGCGTGGGCACTTCCGGGGGCAGGCAGCTGGGCAGGGCAGCAGAAGTGGAAGCCACATGCTCCTCAAAGCTGTTGATGCGAGGCTTTTTGGTGGGCTCAGGGCTGGCTAGTGGGGTGACACTATTGCGTCTCATGAGCGGGTTAGGTCCCTTCTTTGCATCCTAAGCAGACAAAGACAAAAGAAAGAAGGCGACAGTTACAAGGAGTGGGGAGGGAGGTAGAAAAGCCACACACACACACACACACACACACACACACTCTCTCTCTCTCTCTCTCTCTCTCTCTCTCTCTCTCTCTCTCTCTCTCTCT